GGATCACTGGTACTATTACTGTTACAGTCAACAGGATCATCAGGATCAGCAACTCTAACCCACTGACCAGTAGTTAGATTAGTACCAGGTAACACACATGATATAGCTTCAGTAACTGCATTGACACTACTATCCCAAAAATATGATCCATTAGGATAACAGTTTCCATTATATTCTAAATAGATACCTATAAAATCAATTTTAACTTTATAATGATCTATATTAAAATTAAAATACCTTGTTGCTGACAATGAGTGAAAACACTGATTGCACTACTAGCAGGTCCCAGTAATTGTTGATAGGCTCTGACTGTGATGCTATAAGTTGATCCTCCTCCCAGTCCATTCAGTGTGATTGTATTATTACTACTTCCCTCCACCTGTACTGTCTGCACAGTGTCTGTGTCACTAGTGACATTGACTACATATCCATCAGCATCAGATGAATTAAGTGAAGTCCAATTGACAGTGATAGTGGTAGCTGCTTTGTTGACCTCAGTAAGAGAAGAGGGAGCAGTTGCTGGTACTAATAATTTTCTTGGTATCAAGATTATTGGCATTATTTATTGACATTACCTTTTATAGTTACATTACGTATTCTTATTTCATTAACATCAGGACGATCTGCTAACCTACACTGATACATTTGATCTCCAGTGGTTGATTGACTGATTGATCCACTACTGACAGTCATTCCATCCCATGTGATATTAACAGTATATCTTACTGTGTTTCTAACAGGACCACTTAAATCAGTACCAGGACAATTATTACTAGGATCATGACAATTAGTGTAATTAGCCAGTGCAGTACTACTAATGCTCATACTAATGTCATAGAGATTATTTCCAATTTTAGTACAATTCAGTTTGTATTCCTGAGGATATACTGTCATATCAGAAGGAAGATCAGTAACAGTAAATGATTCTATCTCTACAAATCCTACAAATGAAAAATTATTACATCAGTAAGTGATTATAGTCTCCTCTTACTGAATATATTAGCAGTGATGATGTTAGTACCAGGAGTTGAACAACTAGTGGGTAGACAACACATATACTGGCCATCACCAGGTGCCCCAAGAAAGTTTGGTGGATTTATGAAAACACTGAGATTAGCAGCTGAGGAACCAGTAGTACATTGAACATTTTGATTGTTACCATTGCCACAAGGAACTTCTCCATTAGGACCAATCCATTCTCCACCATTCAGAGTAGCACCAGGTAATGCACACTCTAGAGGAGTTGGTCTGATGCTACCGTCAGTAAAAAATGATCCATTATTAGTATAACAGGTTCCATTATGCCTCAGGTAGATACCTATAAAAACCTATACAGTTGTTATTATACACATCCAGTGTCTTACCTGAGGAAGGTGGACATTGACTAATAACTTCACTGACACTCAACAAGAAGACAACCACTTGTACTGAAAGCATTGTTGACCAAAGAAATGTCTGTGGGTGTGTTTATCAACTGTTGTGGTAGCTCAGCAGATAGTTTTGTAAATAGATTTAGTGGCCCACTCCCTGTGTGTATGTGACTACACGATGTAACAATAGCAGCAACAATACCACATGATGTTAAAGGAATTTACCATTACAATAGAAGAGAGACCATTTAGCTTTGCTGTGTAGTCTTAAGAGCCTGTAGTGTAGATTATACATGTACATATTTAGGAGGAAAAACAATGAAAGAGAGTCCGAGATCATCACTGATGTAATGCCAGGGTTGCCTGCTCTGCTCAAAAAACTAGGAAAATACTATTACCCATTATCCAGCAATTATTCTGCAGCAATGTTAGATCTAATGTTAACCCTAAGGCGTGGCTAGAACTATTGTAACCATAGTAACACACACATTTATTTTAAAACAGTTATGGAGCCAGATGGTAGGAACCGTCTTCAACTCGAGAACCAACGCATGGAAGAGAGACTGAGGATGCTGAAGGAAATGATGTCAGTGGAGAAGGCACAAAGAGAGTTAGTGGATGACTGTACAGTCTCAGATTAATGGTATACTCCCTAGGGCTAGTACAAACAATAGATCATACTGGGAGTCAGGGAAGAGAGGACCACTATCAGTCAAGAAGAACAACAGTAACACAACTGGAGTGGAAAAACTAGGGAAGAATAAGAAGGTTAGTCATACCACCATAATAATTACAAATTACAATTATTTAACTAATTTTTAGAATGTTAGGGTGAGCCTATTAACTGGTAGAGAGCCTGATCCTGTATTAAAAGGTAAGTAATGATGGGATTAGGTATACACATTACGTGCCCAAGTTTCCCTGCAATCAAAAAATTGAGCAGTTCAATCCTTTCTCAGTACCTATATTCTCATTAGTACTCACCTCACATACATTGTCAGTACATTGTTCTCATTATCGTCGATACTTTTCTTTCAGAGAAGATTCAGTGTGGGCAGTGTGACCAGTATCATGCATCCATGGTACATATTACATTCATTTCTTATTATTATTATTATTACATTCTATTTATCATTATTAGATGTGCATTGAGTGTGTAGAGAATTACTGTAACATGTGTTTTGTCAAGATTCATCACAAAGGATCTCTTTCTAAGCATCACGTGAGGCCACTGGCAAAAACAGCAGTAAGTAAACATTATAAATAGATAATAATAGTCATTAAATGCTCTTTTTGAGGTGAAGCAGTTTACTGGTAAAGTACATCAAACAGACAATGATGTTTCTCAATTGTCTGTTGGAACTGGTGAAGAAGAGAAGGATCATTCTTTACTAGAGGGTAACTATGATGAACTAGCCAGTGCAACAATGTTCCAAGAGGCATTAAGATCATGGAGAAACTCTGGTAAAGAGCAAGAAACATCATCAATTGGTAAGACATAGTACACTGAGTAAATTATCATTTAATGCAATTTATGTAATGTAGCTGTGGAATCTGTCTCATGTGGTGTTCAAGCTGCTCCAAGTGATGATGCTGAGAGGAAATTATTAAGTTCTTTAGAGTCCATGAGCACCAATAATCATAGCAGCAATGCTTCCTCTTACTTTGAGACACTTCTACTAAAAAGAGTCAAAGCCAATCCTTCATTCTTTAGTTCAATTGGTCCACTAGCATCTCCAAAGATTACTCCTCATCAGCCATTAGTTATGGAGGATGATGATGATATGGATGAGCAGAATCAGTCTTCAGTAATGATATCTCCTTATAATTTGTTCTACAGCAGTGACTCTGATCATGGAATGTTTAATTTTGAGACTACTGATACAGTCAGTGTACCCAAGGCTGCTAGCTCTGTGTCTGTTCAAGAGCTTAGCCCCACACCACTAGTAACAGAACCAGTACCAGCAACTACACAATCTGCAGCAGAGAAGGCTCAGTCAGGATTAAAGGATGGAGATGCAAAGAATCATTTGCATACAACACCAATAGCAAAAGAACTAATGTTAGAATGCTCTGGATCATCTACTGGGCTGTTATCATCAAAAAAGCAACCAGCATTGGTGCCTCCTTCCAAAGCAAATAAAGGAAAGAATGGCTCATTAAAAGTCAAACAAACAAACAGTAGCAGTAGCAAGATCAAGAAATCATCAAAAAGCAGTAGAAACACTCCGAGTTCTGAAGGATCACCAGTTGTAACTGGAGTAAGGCAATCACTCTCTGAGGCTGCTTTAAATGCTTCAGTGGAACAAATCTGGAAGAACTCATCCTCTCACTCAATTTCTCAAAGAAAGACATATGATCTTTCATCTTTATTCATGGTTTCTGTTGATAATACTTCTTCTTCTCCTCCTATCAATCAATATGAACTAGTTGATGATAAGGATATGTATGTACCAGTCAATGCTGGAGAGGGAGATTCTGTTTGGCTGCCAGGGAAAAGCACTACAGCAGCAAGCAATGATGAGACAGCTCAAAGCAGGGTAGTTCTTAATGGTTTTGATCTTCCACCCCTAAGCAGTGTCACCACATCATTCCCACAGCAACAGGAGGATCAGTATATTGATGATTCTGATTCTGATTCTAACGAAACGCTACAATGGGAAGAGAAGCAAGAGGAGGATGAGAGAGAGGAAGAGAAAAAGGAGGAGGATGAGTTGATACATGAACTAGCATCAATGTGTACTTTGACTAGTGAGGAGGGAAGAGAAGGGACAGAAGAGAAAGAAGAGGACATTGAAGAGCGAGTGCTGTCACGCCTGACCATCGATGACTTGATACATGATTTTGATGTCTTTCAAGATCAAATCAGAGAAGATGATGATGGAATGTGAAAAAGTACTAAATGTGTATATTTTGACTTACACAATACATTGTGTTCACTTGGTATAAGTTTTTCTTTACCATTAATAATTAAATCTCAATTTTATTGTACAGATTTAACGATGAAATGTAAAGGTTTGCAATCAAAACAATTAGAATAAACTGTCAGTAAAATTACACTTATCATTAATAATAATAATAATTACAAATACAGGATAATAATTAGTTAAAGTATGCTTAATGATATGGAAAGTAGGTGACCCAATTAGAAGTTAGTTCCTTGGGTCTGGTAGGATGAGAAGAAGTGAAAAGAGAACGATAAGCATCTCTAGTCTCTACAGCCGGTTTCTTCTTAGTCTTTGTCTTATCACTAGTTGCTGGTGGAGGACACACTTTCATCGACTGCTTCCCAGCTGTTAGTTTAGGCTTCTTTACAGTAGCCTTTGATCCAGCAACCGATACTGGGTCCGGTAATTTCTGAGCTGAATCGGGGTCGAGTAATTTTGGCACAGATGCTGGGTCTGAAGGTGAATTGTCAGAGGAACCTGCGAATTAAAAAAATTCATCTAATAAACTTATTCCCTTCCCTCATATCTTACCACTACTAGTCTGGGCACTGCTAGCAGAACTACCATCACTAGTCAACTCCTGCTCCACTTGCTGTGAGACTGCTTTTCTCTTTCTCTACATAAATTAGATCATCATCATCATCATTATTATTAATTTTAATTTATTTTCATAAGTGATAAACATACTTTGCTCAGTTTGGCTTTCTTTCTCCTCTCCTCCATATTCTCTGCCATCTTCTGCACTTCGGCATCAGTTCCATTTAAAATGATAACATCCTCCTTCACGAAAGCCTTAGCACACTATAAACACAATAAAAATAATTTTAAAAATATTTTAAATAGTTAAAGAATATACAATGGAGCTGGACTAACTTTATGACAAGTTTCAGATGGAACTTCTTTCATTGCTTTCTCAGATATAGTACAGCCACATGTCCTTATAAAGCAGAAGCCATGATGACCGCTCATTTCAAGTCCAGTGACTGGACATATGTATTGCGATGACTGGACGTCAGTGTACTTCTCACTGTCCTTGAAACCGGGATTAGGAGTCAATTGCAACTCATATACATCCTATAAAGGAGAAAGAGAGAGAATACACAGGATGTAGTGATCCTCTTTTTTCTTATCTTTTTCTTTATTTTTTTGAAATTTCTTTATTTTGCTCCAAAATCAGGCCAAAGTATCTGTACTATAGTACAGGGATTTTTGCCAAATTTCATCAAAAAATGAAAATGAGAGAATCCTCTATTTTTATAATTTTTCTGATGCATAAAGATGTTCTTATGTTGTGTAAAAAGTTTGAACTAATTCCAATCAAAATTGGATTTTTTTACGAATATTTAAAGTTGCTACAAAATTGAGCCGAAGTCCCTGTACTATAGTACAGGGATTTTGGCCAAATTTCACCAAAAATGGCTAGGTGAGATTTCTCCATTTTTATAATTTTTCCTGATACATATACATGTTCTTATGTTGCGTAGAAAGTTTGAGCTCATTCCAATCAAATTTGGATTTTTTACGAATATTTAAAGTTGCTCCAAAATCGAGCTGAAGTCCCTGTACTATAGTACAGGGATTTTGGCGAAATTTCATCAAAAATAAAAATGAGAGAATCCTCCATTTTTATAATTTTTTCTAATGCATATAGATGTTCTTATGTTGTGTAAAAAGTTTGAACTGATTCCGATCAGAACTGGATTTTTTTACGAATATTTAAAGTTGCTCAAAAATCGGGTAAAAGTATTATTAATTTAAATTATTAATTAATTTTTTCCAGGAAATTTTGCCAGAAAAAATTAATTTTCCAGGGAAATTTGCCAAGAAAAATTAATTTTTTCGAGAAAAATATTACTTTGATTTTTTTCAAGAAAATATATTAATTTAATTTTTTTCCTGAAAAATTTTGCGGGAAATTTTTTTACCCGGGAAAAATTATTAACTTTTTCCCAGAAAAATTTATTTTCCCGGGAAAAATTAATTCTTGGGAAATTTATTAATTAATTTTTTCTCAGGAAATTTTGCCAGGAAATTTTTTTTTCTTCAAAAATATTAATTTAATTTTTCCCGGAAAATTTTGACAGAAAAATTTATTTTTCCTGGAAAGTTTGCTGGAAAAATTTTTTGGAGGGGAATTATTAACTTCATTTTTTTCCTGGGAAATTTGCCAGGAACAATTATTTTTCCCAAAAAGTTTGCCGGGAAAATTTTTTTTTTTGGAAAATTTAAATTAATAAAAAAAATAAATAACTGCGCATGGTTTTTCCTAAAATAAAATTATAGGCTCCCAAAGCCCCCCCCCCCCCAATTTTTATACAATGTGATGTCCTTATATTTTTAAGTTATCTTACGAGCACTTTTAAAATAGAGTGAATAAAGCTAAACTATTTCCTTTACCTTCAATGAGCGAATGTGTGATGCATTCTCTGGTAGGTTTGGTTTATCTAGTAGTGCCAGCAAAATGGCCTCCTTGTTATAGAGCCTAAGTAATAATAAGTAAAAATAATAATTATAGAAATACAATTTAATCAATATCCGTAAAGAAATCACTAATATCTTAACACGTCTTACCTTCCTAACTCACAAGCTACAATAGGTTGGCTTAGTTTCTCAGCACTAATAGCACAGTGACGCCATTTAGCTGCTAAAGCAATATCTTTCTCGGCCTAAAGAGAGGAAAATAAACAAGAGATTTCCTGTAAGAGTTAGATGACTTAGATCCACACCTTTTCGGCCTTTTTCTTCAGTTTAACCATCTCATCTCTACGAGGGATCGTTCCACCATCGCAACCCATAATGAAGAAACCAACTTCACTTCCTAAAAGCAAGAAGAACAAGAACAAGATGGAAAGATAAACAAGTTGAATGCAAACTCCACCTTTGGGTGTGGTGATAGGCGGGGCTTACAAGAAATTTGAAGAAAATGAGTGGTATAATTATTTTTTGATATTATTATTATTATTATTGTTATTTAGGAAGCAAAACAAGATCCAGTAGTGACAGGCGGATATTAGATGAAGGTACGCGCATGAGGAGACATAAGAGACAGCTGGAGGCACTGGAGAAGGATAACCATCATGATGACCCCCATGCTTCATTTGCTCACTTACTCAATAAAGTGAAGCTACCTTCTTTTTCTGATGGGACCGAGAGTAAGTCACGTGACAGTCTTTCATTAATAAATAAAATTATTTATTATTGTTATTATCAAGAAGACTCAATATTTGCAATTGGGTGGGGGTGTTCTCGACTCTTGCTGTGTTAACGGTTAATTTTTAATTTTTAGAGAAAAGGAGAAAAACAAGATCAAATGCAGATCACTTCAAACAAGTGTGTAGCTGCAACGATGTAACATTTAACTTTCTTCTTATCATTTTAGAGATTTCGTAAAACTTTCCAGTCACTACTGGAAGAACTAGCGGTATAATATAAAACATGTTTGTGTTTTATTTCTTGCATTTTTAGACGAATAATAATAACAATGTTAAAGGTCCTTCTTATCTCACAGCTGCTGCTCCTCCTTCAAAATTCCCCCCAAGACACTTCTGTGCTGTCTGTGGATATCCTCTGTCATGTTTTAAACCTAGCAACCATTAAATAATGAAATAGTTTGTTTGGCTTTAAGTTGATGTACTATAGTATAGTAAATGTCATTCTTCCTTAACTTATTGCTTCTACGTTTCCTTCAAGCTACAAGTGTGTGTCCTGTGGTACTAGATACTGCTGCACAAGGTGCCTTGGAACTCATCAGGACACAAGGTATCACCATAATGTCACTCTCTCTTCTCATCTCTCATTATGTCTTTAGGTGTCTCAAATGGACTGTATAGCCACACTCATTCACATACAAACTTAACACAGTTAACATAGTCTATATTATCTTTCTACATGTCATTTATATAAAGTAAAATATGATGAAGCTCCCAGCAGGTGCAAAAAATAGCACAAATTACTGTCAATCACCACGTCCTCCTACCAAGAACTTGCAGAAAGTGCAGATCTTTTTTTATATACCAAATTAATGGTACTGTAGGAGGAATGGATCTTAGGCAGCAGATGATTAATATCTGAATTAGATCTACAGTTATAATATTAAACAAAAGAAGGAAAAATAGACAGAAAAGGATAGGGTGAGAGAGGAGTGGGTAGTCCATTAAGACTATATAACAGGTTCAGGAGGAAAAAACATAATAATAATAATAATTCTGTTTATTATATTGTTCATATAATAATAATACGGTGGCCTCTTTGTGTGAGCAATGATAAAATAATACTACAGCATCAAATTAATAATAATAAAATAAATAATAATAAATCTCTACTACTGCCATTCCTGTTTTTATTTATAATAATACCTAAGACGGTACTAGCTGCATAAATTCATTTAAAACCTCCTTAAGGTCCGTGAGTGTGTACTATAGGAAAAAAAGGAGAAAGGTCAGCATAAAAATACATATAAATATAATATTAAATCTTAACATTTATAAATATTATAAATATAACGTTACATCTTAATAGTGGAATATCATGCATGAACATTAAAACATTCTTACTTGTTGTAACACACTAAAAGTATGCTTCTTGTTCTTTGATTGAAGTTGTTGTATGCACTTGTGACAATAGACAAGATGATCGCCTTTCTTGTTGGTAGACACAAACAAGATATTAAATACTTCCTCCTAATGACAAAATTAACTATCATTAAACATTGTGTATAAAAATACAAGTATTTTTCACATAAAAAGTGCACATACATGTACATGTACATATATATATTAATATTAAAAGTATAGAAAATATTAATATTAAAAGTATAGAAATTATAAATATATTGTACTTACCAGGCAAGTGGTACAGGTTGGGGTGGGTTCCCCTGCCAAGTGTCCATGCCACAGGATTGGGATATCGAGTGATTTCATTAAACTGATGAGCTGTTCACATTGCTTGTATGAACTCTGAAGTAACGTACTGAGGAAAAAGATATTTGAAATAAAATCATTATTATTATTTTCCAGTTTACTTACCTAATCTGTTGGACCATGTTTGGATCAGTCACCTTTAGTCTTCTTGCTAAATTCCAAGTAAGAGACATCATGGGGACAATGGACCGGACCTCTGGAAAGGAAAAACAATAATAAAAGCATCAAGTACATGTAAATGTTCACGGTACCAAGTGCATGTGTAGTAGGAGGGCCACTGTATTGACTCACTTTGTATCTTATTCCACTGATATCTCTCCCAAGACATTCTCAACTGGTGAGCTGAGATAGGACCAACATTCCATGCTATGTTGTTACAACAAGACTAGAGAATGAAGCAGAGAGAGAGAGAAAGAGTAAGATTATTATATTAAAATGACAAATAGATTATAATTGGCTCACATTAGCTTGTACCCAGTGTACAGTCCCAGGATTGATCCACACCACTTCTCCTTTATACTGAGTGAACTGGTAGACTGGGACCTGGTACTTCTCTAACTCCTCCAGTATTGGCCACCATGAACCAACAAGGAAACTCAACTTGTGCCTACAAAAAATCATCATTATCATTTCTAAAATACACGACAAGTGTCACTAGATTTATACTGTACGAGCATAACTAAAAATATACTTGTTTATAAGTACATGCTTTTAATGATCTCACTCTCCTCTCTCTTCTCTTCCTCTTACTTTTCACACAGCTCATGTACCACGCCCCAGTATTTGTTTGAGACGGCAAACCACTCACAGTTCCCTGGCCCAATGTTGATATTAATAGAACAGAAATTATTATTCTCTTGATGCCCTGAAAAAACAACAAACATAATAACAAGAGTAATAATAATAATAATAATAATAATAATAATAATAATAATAATAATAATAATAATAGTAGAATGGCTATAGTGGTTATACCTGGTGTCCTGCAGCCTGGCACTTTCATGTACAATTGGACAGTGTTCATTCCAAGGACAGTGTGACCAACATGATTGAGAAGATTAGCCTGTGGACAGTTAACCTATAATAATAACAACATGATAATAATATTAATGATAATGATAATAAATATCTCAATAATGTAGAGGAGGTGTCTGATTTCATTTATGAATGTACAATGCACCTGCATAAACTTTGGCAGCTTCTTTATTTCGTCTAACTGCTGACCCCATCTGGAGAGATGAAATGATAATTGATTCAATGTATCAGAAAAATGAAGAGTTCTCTACTAGTTAACATGTATTTCTGACAAAATATACTCTGTACTATAGTACAGGGTGTTGGGACTGATTTTGGAACAACTTTAAAAATATGTAAAAAATCCAAATGTGATTGGAATCAGCTCAAACTTTCTACACTTCATAAGAGCATGTATATGCATCAGAAAAAATTATAAAAACAGAGATTTCTCTCCTTTTCATTTTTGGTGAAATTTGGCCAAAATCCCTGTACTATATAGTACAGGGACTTTAGCTCGATTTTGAAGCAACTTTAAAAATTCGTAAAAAATCCAAACTTGACCGGAATCAGCTCAAACTTTCTACACCACATAAGAACATGTATATGTATCACAAAAAATTATTAAAATGGAGATTTGTCTCCTTTTCATTTTTCGTAAAATTCTTTGGCCCATAAGGAGAAGCTCCTTAAACTTGCTTCATTTGATGTGAATTACAAAATATAAAGATGATGGTCAAGCAGAAAACTCACTTTTCACAGTCGGATAAGTCACAGTTGGTTCCAAACTTGAGCATTTTACGAGGAAGGAAGTCATACTTAGGACTTGGATGATTCTCCAAAATATCTTTCTGATACTCACCATACTCCTTCACTGTAGTAGAAGACCTGAAGAGAAACAAAGACAGAGAGAGAGAGAGAGAGAGAGAGAGTCATTACAGGTGACAAAGTAAGAGCTAAAGAGATGTACAAACCTGCTACTTTCACATTTCCAGACTTGTTTCTTTCCTGATGGATCGTAATTCTTGTCAACAGCTTGTAATATCTGCATATAAAGAGAAGGCATTAGTGAATGCTTTTATAGCATATACTATTAAAGTTAATGCATTAACATCAGGTTTACATATGTACCGTACCTGTTCACGAACTTCAACATCATGTTCACCATGATATCTCATTAAAGTATCAGTTGAATATAATGATAGATCTGAGATAGAGAGAGAGGGGGGGGGGAGAAAGAGAGAGAGAGAGAGAAAGAGAGAGAGACAGACAGACAGAGAGGGGAGAGAGAGAGAGAGATAGTAAAGAATACATATACATGTAGATGTGGTGTGTGATCAGACAGACAGACATGACAAGACAAACAAAAAAGATAATTCAATAAACAAACCAAAGTCAGTTGCTTCGGGTAAGCCCCTAATAATGCATATAGGCACTTCGGGTGAAGTACAGAAAGTGTGTAGGTCCAACTCATCGTAAGAGTTCACCTAAAAGGAAATGAACACCATCACTACAATACAACCACAGACGACGTTAGTACTAGAGTATATGTACATGCAAGAACACCAGATGCTCTAAACACACATACGTACCTTAATACATGCCCATTGACCATATACATGTACATGTACATGTATATGTACATGTACATGTACATATACATGTACATGCACATGTACATGGTTGAGATTCAATTAACCAATGTAGGTAACACACACACACAAAAAGAATTATTACATTAACATAAGTGGATGGGAGCTTACAGTGTATATTGGTATCTGAGGATGGAGATCAACTGAGGGTGACTGAGGAGGAGAAGGAGGAAGAAGAGGATCATCCTTCATGTACTCGTCTCTTGATCCTAAACCAGAATGAGGCTCCAGTACCGGGTCAATATAAGGGACATCAGTCTCGCTAGGAGGAGGAGGAGGGAGGGGGAGAGGAGAAGGATAGGAGAAAGGAGAGGACACTAGACAAGGTGATGAAGAGGGGGAGGAGTGATTCGAGTTATTGGAATATTTGGTACTCGATGAGGATATACCACTTGACGTGTCCGAAGTATTTCCGGATCTAGTGTTGGCGGAATGGGAACCAGTCTTTTTCTTACTGGAACGGGAATGAGTCTGGATGGAATGGGATTCAGTCTGATGCAGCGGAAGTGATGATGGTCTCGTGTTGTCTTCTTCTTTGCTGGGCGGGGCGTTAAGGGAGGGCGTTACACGTGGTATCTTTACATGAAGGTCGAGTTGCTCCATGGGTCGTTTACCTAATATGGGAGTCAAGTCTCCGCCCAAACTCAGACTGGCCGGGGACGAATCAGTGAAATTTGATTGAGATAGCGGTAGGTCTAATAAGTGGGTGTGGTTTGAAGTCTCGTCGATATAAGTATCAAGATAGTCAGAGGAAGACTCACTGACATTAAGGGGGAGGGAGAGGAGGGAGGAAAGCTCTTGGGAGAGACCCATTGGACTGTTACCCTCGTCCAGTGACATGGGAGTAGGGGAACATGGGTGGAGCATCGTACGAGGGGACAAAGGCAGTGGGTTGGGCTGGTACACGATAGCCTGAGGAGAGTCCCTCAAGGGGGAAGTCAAAGAGGGACGGGTACTATGGTAACCGGTCGTAGAACTAGTCCTGTAAGGAGTACCAGGGTAAAGTTCGTTAGGTACGTGGGCGGCATGACTGCCTGTATAATAGTTCTGGGCCTGTTGAAAGTGATACTGTTGTTCGGGGGTGGGCGGGACTAGGGCGGAGTCTGGTTGAGGAGTATATCCATTGAGGCTGACGTCTAGTCTGTGATTGGTGAAGAGAGGAGAGGAGGAGGAGGGGATGGAGGAGGTGTGAGGTGACTGGTGAGGAGGCCAGCCGTCACTGATACTCCGCAATATAATAGGATCCTGTGAAAACTGAGAGAGAGTGAGGGAGAAGAAGGGAAAAGAGAGGAATACAATGATAATTAATTGCCACACAAGTAATTTAAAATAAAGTACTTTTGATTTTGTCATTCTATATTTCTTGTTTGACTGTTTGTTTAGACCAGGAGATAAGAGAGGGGATGTCTCTGTCTGTAG